TCCCCAGAGGGGGGGGGCGAGGAGGGGAACGAGAGGGCGAGGCGCACGGGCATGGAGGATCGGCAGCCGCCGCGTTTCCTCCTCGGGGGAAAAAATGGCCTGGGCGCTGCCCGCCCCGGGCACGCTTGTGGCGCTGCGGGTTGCGTGCGCGCCAGGAGGGCGCCGTAAGGAGTGGACCTCCCCTTGAAGCTAGAAGAAAGGCGTACGCATACCCGCCAGTCGTTTACAGTGCGTGTTCTTGGGCTCCCAGATTCCAACTTTTGGATTCCCAGATTCCAGTCTACTTTAGGCGCCGCTTTCTACTTCAAGGATCGAGCGGTGTTCCCTCTTCCCCCCTCGTCAGGGGGCGGGCGGAAGCCCAGCGCCTTCCTACTTCATGTTTCGACTTGTTTCTTCCGACTCACGGGTAATGTCTCGGAGGTCCGCGCGGATCGGCGGTGGGCCCTTTTGTCGGCGCCTCCGGCGCCGCCCCTGGCACGCTCCGCGCGCCAGGGAGGTAGGTCCAGCGTCAATTCGAGGAACCTGCGCGGACCTCAGAGAAATTATGTTTATGCCGCCTTGTTTCCTCTATCCTCCCGAGCCCCTGAGCGCCAAGCCCCCCGAACGGGGCCAGAGCAGACGGGGTCGGAGGATCGCGCCGTATCGCCGATGCATTGGCGATGCGGCTCGATGTGAAGCCCGATTTTCTCCGCATCGACGTCGCCGATGCATCGACGATCTCGGACGCATCGCCGATGCATCGACGATGCATCACCAATGCATCGACGATTCATCGCTGACGCGGCGCGATCCTCTGCCCCCATCTACTCCGACCTCAGTGTGGTGGGCTCTATCAGCGGTATGGGGCATCTGTTTGCTTCGACGCGCCCGCGTTGAAAGTGGAAGAGTGAGTAAGAGAGAGAGAGAGAGAGAGAGAGAGAGAGAGAGCGAGACCTCGTGAGCTCGATGAAGAAAACGAGGGAGGTCCGCCAAGCTCTCTTGGATAGGCGCTGGACCCCTTGGCGGGCTCCACGCACAAGGGACGAGGGTCCAGCGCCGATCCAAGAAATCAGCGCGGGGCTCCGAATGTATTCTGCTTATGCAGCTGTTGTTTCTTCTTATTTGATGAGCGCCTGCACGCTATCGGGCGCATGTTTACTTCGCCGCTCCCGCGCCGAAGAGGGGGGGAAGAAAGAGAGAGAGAGAGAGAGAGGGAGAGAGAGGCATGCGCCAAGCCTACTTCCCGAGGGCCTGGGGGTCGAGGGGACGGGGGCTGAGTTTCGCGGTGGCAGCAGCTCAAAAGATGCGCTGTTGGTGCTGGGGGCCGCCGAAGACGCGGCGGCCTCATTCAACCCACTCCTGTCTCCTCCTCCTCCTCCTCCTCTTCCTCCTCCTCTCTCCGTCCTCCCCCTCATGTTTCCTTCTTTCCCCACTCCCTCACTCTCAGCGCCCTCTGGCTGATGCTTGATGCTCCTCGTGGTCCGTCAAGCGTTCGCGCGGGCTTGCTGTTGCTGGTCTGCCACGTCACACTCACGCTGACGAGTCACGCACGTTGAAGCAAGCGTGCGCTGGCTGCACGAGCTTCGTCCAGTGCGGCCTGGGCATGTACCCTTACAAGCTTGCCCAGCGGCGTGGCCATGCCCGGCGGGGTAACCGCTGGTGCGGACACTCTGTCTCCGTCGAGGTAAGACCGGCGCATTCGACTCGGCCAGCCTTCCTTCCCCTTCTCATTCTCCTCCTCCTCTTCCTCCTCCTCCTCCTCCTCCATTCATTGGATTATGCTCCTCCTCCTCTTCCTCCTTCACCTTTTTCATTATCCTCCCCTCCTCCTTCTCCTCCTCCTGCATAGTGCTTGGCCCTGTCATTGCCATTCTCTTGCCCTGTCATTGCCCCTTTATCCTCCTGCTCCCTTTCCCTCTCCCCATGCTCCCCGCAAGCTCGAAGTGCTGGATGCCACGCGAATGCTGCCGAATCTTTTGTGGACTCGCTGCTACGGCTTAACTGATATTCTGCTCTGGGAGGAGGTTCAGAAATAGGAGGATCTGAAGGATCTGACTACTCGGGCGAAGCTTCGAGCCCCTCGCTCGCTGGCGACAAAAATGACATCAGTCGTCTTCGCAGAGGTTTGTGAGATCCAACCCCGAGTCCTCGCGCTGCCGCTGGTAACGCCCCCAGCCCACGAGCGCATCGGGGGAGAGAAACCCTTGTGGTTGAGCGACGCGAGAAGCGTCCAGGGTTGGGATGTGCAGCAGGTGCATGCCTCCTTGCGAGCCCTCCGCCGACTCCGGAGTCCCTACCAGCCTGCTGTTTCCAGCAGCACCACCGGCAGGCGCAGGCTCATCAAGCCGAGGACCCCAAACAGCTCGCACCTCCGGAGGCGGCCCCAGAGCGGGATCTATCACAGCTGCTCCCCAGCTGTGCTTGGGAACAAGACCCCTGCGAAGCCTCGAGCGCTGAGTTTTCAGCCCCGGGTGTTCGGGACCATTGCACTTACCGGCATGACCTCTCGCTGACTGGTGCACGGAGCCGCCACATACCTCTCAGAATCAGAGATCGGCACGTGTGTTTTCTCGTCAGATCCTTGGACAGTGGCCTCAACAATGGAGTGACCTCGGAGCTGCCAGGGGGCCCCTTCGGAGTCCGCGAAACCAGGCAGTGCAGGCGGAGGGGGATGAGGCGGAGGAGGAGTCGGGACAGGGGTCCCTTAGTCCAAGATCACCCCCCAAACGGTGCAACTCCTTCCTCATGGCATGCCTGAACAAGGTAAGGCGAGATCTAAACTTCCAGGTGCACATCTGCACCCGCTAGCCCTTCCGAGTCGGGTTGTTCCAGCTCTCCGAAAACCTGTTGGGCTCGGGCACGCCATGTGGTGCAGTCCATGACCAAACGCTCGCACCCACAGGCGCGCAACATGCGTTCCTCCGAGATCGCCCCCAGGCGAGCGCCCTTCTTGGTCTAATGGTCGGCCCTGCCATTCCCTTGAAATGTTCATTTCTCATGGTCGGAAAGCCCTGAATACAGGGCCTGGTGGGATTTCACCTTGAACACCGAAGCCCTGGGACCGATCGCGTCCCGCTGGTCCCGCCACAGATGCTGGCGAGGGCTGTTTAGACTAAGGGCCGTGCTGGAATCCCCGGCACAGGCTACCGAGCCATCGCAATCGCTGTATTCATGGAGCGGGGTATTGTTATCCCGCTTAGAAAGCCTGGCTGACATCTCGAACGCGAAGTCTTCGCCATCCCTGGCCGCCTGGCCAGGGGCGGCCGCAATGGGGGGACAGCACCGTGCCGCCTGCGCGGTCGATCTGAATCACTGCCCACCCAGCGCGTCTGAGTCCTGAGCATGCAGGCTTGCAAGACAGGTTCGTGTCGTGTCGACCGGCGGCGACCCCGCCAGCGGCGTTCAAGGTTGAAGGCAGTGGGCGACCCAGAATCGTTCGATGTGGAACGATTTGGACGCTTCGGAAACGGCCGATCGTTCAAGGTTGAACGATCCCCGCGGTGTCAGAAACCAACGCCGAAGTCGGCACGACACGAACCTGACGTACGCGCTCCCGTGCAGAAACAAGGAACCAGAAAATTTCCAGCCAGGAAATACACCCGCACATTTGATCTGCTGTTCCCCTGGAATCTCCACGCGAAGGAAGCACTGCCCAGGGTCAGGCCAGAGGCTAGAGCTTCCCTTTGGTCCTTGACAGATGTAGCCCCACGTTCAATATGGTCAGGGCACTCCTCTCGCCGCAACAGGGCATTGCGATGCCACTCATAAAACCGATGGAACAGCGTGCCGCGAACACCACAATGCATACACTTATCATGTTGCGCCTTGCCATGCTCGTGCAGTCTGGCCTGAGGCCAGTGACTGCCTCCGATCAAACTCCTGATGGCAGCACGCATGAGGTTTGTCCAAGTCGCCGTGCACTTCGAGCGAGGAGCTTGCCAATAGCACCCCCACGGAGCGACGATGCCAACGCTTCTTTGAGCTGGCTTAGAGCAATCACGCCGGAAAGCAGTATTTCGCACCAGTTCTGCATACAAGCCAGGCGAAAAATCTAGCACATGTAAGTCCCCGAGGAATCGATGCCGCAAGATATCCTCTCTGGGCAAGGTGTATCCAATCCGTGCCATAAAAAAAGAGGTCCGCTTCGGCAGGGTCAACAGCCTGGGGCCGAGGCGCGGGACGACACAGTTATCCTAGGACGCTGAGGGCCCCGTGCCAGGAAGTGCAGAGTGCACCGAGAGGTCCAAATGCTTGATGATATCAGCCGCATGCACCACCCATGGGTCTCGGAGGATATGGAGGGGAGCGAGGAAGAGGAGGGGGGGGGGAGGAAGGAATAGTAGACGGGAGAGGAGGAGTAGGAGGAGGAGGAGGAGGAGGAGGAGGAGGAGGAGGAGTAGGAGGAGGAGGGAGGAGGAGGAGGAGAGGAGGAGGAGGAGGAGGAGGAGGAGGGGGAGAGGAGGAGGAGGAGGAGGAGGAGGAGGAGGAGGAGGAGGAGCGAGGAGGAGGAGGAGGAGGGAGGAGGAGGAGGGGAGGAGGAGGAAGAGGAAGAGGAGAGGAAGAGGGCAGCAGAGGAGCACGCAGGAGAGGGCAGGAGGAGGAGGAGGAGGAGGAGGAGGAGAAAGGGAAGGAGGAGGAAGGAGGAGGAGGGAGGAGGAGGACGAGGAGGAGGAGGACGAGGAGAGAAGGGGGAGGAGGGGGAGGAGGAGGAGGAGAAGGAGGAGGAGGAGAAGGAGGAGGAGGAGGAGGTGGAGGAGGAGAAGGAGAAGGAGGAGGACGAGGATGAGGAGCAGCATTGGGAGGACGGGAGGGCCAGGAGGACGGAGGAGGAGCTGGCCAGCCTCCCCTGTCCTGCTCCTCCGTGACATCTGCAGCATCGGGAGTCTTCCTCCTCTTCCTCCTCCTCCTCCTCCTCCTCCTCCTCCCCCTCCTCCTCCTCTGGGCGTGCCTCGCGGCGCGGCGATTGTCTTCTGGCCGCGACCTCCGCCCCTCTCGCCTGCTCCGTGGGGCCCCCTCGCGAGGAGCAGGCACCCCGCCTACGGCTCCCAGTGCGCGCCTCACCTCGTGTTGGGCACCCCCATGGGCGGGGAGGGGGGCTCCTCTCTCTCCTCCTCCTTCGCATCCTCCTTCTCCTCCTCCTCCTCCTCCTCCTCCCTCTTTCCTCCTCTTCCCTCTTTCCTCCTCCTCCTCCTCCTCCTCCTCCTCCTCCTCGCTCCTTCCCCTCTCCTCCCCCCGTTGCGCACAGGCAGCCCCGTTGGCGACGACCGCGACGGCGACGGCGGCGGCGACGGCGACGGTGGCGGTGGCGCCACTGGCAATGGCGTCGGCGGCGGCAACGAAGACGGCGACGACGTCGCCGGCTTACCATGCCATGGGTGCCTTCGTTTCGGAGGTTGCTGTGCGTTTCTAGAGGTTCGCGTCGCTCCCCAGACAGTCCTGGCTGGCTTCAACAGGCCCCCCGAGAAGCCCTTGGCGGTCTCGACACCCTGGCGCCGCCTCTGGCGGCGCCCATGGGGCGCTCCGCCCTGGGCTACTCGGGGGGCCTGTTGAGGCCAGCCATGACTGGCTGGGGGGCTGTTCTTGCGCAGCCCGAGGCCTTACTGGGAGGGGGTGGGGCGCGTGCTGTCCATGGGCGGGCGCGTACTGTCGACTCAGGCATGCGATTCGGCGGCGAGCCCGGGGGGGTGAGAGGGCGCAGGCCTTCTGAGAAGGCGGCGGGGCTTCTCTGAAGCCCTCGCGCCCTCTGAGAACCCGTCTGCGGCTTCGGAGAAGGTTTGCAAGGCCTAAGCTCCGCCGCCTTCTGAGAAGGCCTGCGCCGTTTCACTTCCCCCCTGGGCTCGCCACCAGGCGATGGTTTGATTTTATATTACGGGGTCCCCAGAGGTCCAGACCCTTTCCCCAGGGCCGGCTTTTCATCCCTAGCCTCTTTTTGATGGTCCTGAAACCTGGCGAGGGCTTCCGGTGGCCGAAAATCGCCAAACACCTCCTTGGTTTTTCCCCAACCATCTTATGGTGTTGGGTCCCCGTTTTGACGAGACGGTCCCCGCGTGGCGCAGTTCGCATGGCGGCGCCGCCCCATCTTAGCACACCCATCGATCGTTTCGTGGCCCCATAGAGAGCTCCACTGAAGGTCCCAGTGGTGCAGTTCGCATGGCGGCGCCGCCCCATTTTGGCACACCCCTCGCATTTTTCGTGGCCCCATAGGGAGCTCCACTGAAGGTCTCAGTGGTGCAGTTCGAATGGCGGCGCCGCCCCATCTTGGCACACCCCTCGCACGTTGCGTGGCCCCATAGGGAGCTCCACCTAAGGCCCCAGTGGCGCAGTTAGCATGGCGGCGCCGCCCCATTTCGGCACACCCCGCATACGTTTCCTGGCCCCATGGGGAGCTCCACCTAAGGGCCCAGCGGTGCAGTTCGTATGGCGGCGCCGCCCCAATCTGGCATTCCCTCACACGTTTCGTGACCCCATAGGGAGGTCCACCTAAGGTCCCAGTGGCGCAGTTCGCATGGTTTTGGCACACCCCTCACACGCTTCGTGGCTTCATAAGGAGCTCCATCTAAGGTCCCAGTGAGTTCGCATGGTGGCGCCGCCCCATTTCGGCACACCCATCACACGTTTTCGTGACCCCAAACTCCACCTACAGTCCCAGTGGCACAGTTCGCGCGGCGGCGCCGCCCCATTTCGGCACACCCTCGCATGTTCTCGTGGCCCCATGGGGAGCTCCACTGAAGGTCCCAGTGGTGCAGTTCGCATGGCGGCGCCGCCCCATTTTGGCACACCCCTCACACGCTTCGTGGCCCCATAGGGAGCTCCAGCTAAGGTCCAATGGCGCAGTTCGCGCGGCGGCGCCGCCCCATTTCGGCACACCCTCACACGTTCTCGTGGACCCATAAGGGGCTCCAGCTAAGGTCCCAGTGGCGCAGTTCGCTTGGCGGCGCCGCCCCATTTTGGCACACCCTCACACGTTTCGTGGCCCCATAGGGAGCTATGGATTTTTTTCGGTCCTGTGGACTCTCGCTTTGGGCCGTCGGCTGTCCGGCGCGCTGCCCCTTCGGTCGACGCCGCCCACGGGGCCGGGAACGGCAAGAAGGAGGACGACGACTGGTGGCTGGAGCTCCATGCGCTGCTCTCGCGCGCCGCCCGCCACGAGGATCTCCTTCTCATGCGGGCGCCGCGCATCGAGTTCTTCCTGGCAGGGCCGCCAGAGGGCTTGCGGAAGCAGCTGGAGCAGTTTGCGGCGCACACGAAGCGGCGCAGGAGGGAGGCGACGGCCCTCGCCAAGGAGCTGGGCTTCACTAAGTTCATCCGCGATGCTTGACTTGAGGAGCGGCCCGCCCGAGCCGCGCCTTCTCTCGACTGTCCAACTGTTTGGCTTCGCGCCGCGGACGACCCGCGCGCGTCGTCGGGGCCCTCCTCGGGGCGACCAGCGCGCGTCGCGGGAACTCCGCGCGGCGCTCTGCCCGGCGCCTCGCTCGCTCGTCGTCGCTCTGCCTGGCGGCCGGGCCCTCGGCCGCCATCAGCCAGCCAGCCAGGTCTTTTGCTCCGCGCAGCGGACGACCCGGGCGCGTCGCTGGGGCCCCTTCGGGGCGACCGGCGCGCGTCGCGGGGACTCCTCGCCGCGCTGCGTCCGCAACCTTGGGCTGTGGAGTGCAGGGGCAAAAATGGAGAGAGCAAGGGGAGGAAGCGGGCGCGGTCTTCGCGATGGGCGCGCCGACATGGGCGCCGCGGCGCGCGCGCGCTGCCGTCGAGGTTTCCGCGGGGGCCCCCGGTGGCAGCCGCGCTCAGTACCGCGCGAACTCAGAGCCAGGCGTGGCGAAACCGCTCACATTCATAAACATTTACACTAGGTGTAACCATGCTCGCATTTATGCAAACAGATTCACTCGCGACTCATTCACAATCAGACTCGCACGCGCGCATGCTCACCCGCGCTCAGTCTCTCGCACTCAGACCTATCGTCTTCGTTCGCGTTGTGTACCCCGCCGCGCATTTCGGCGCGCCCCTCGTGCGTTTCGTGTCCCCATTGGGAGCGCTAGCGAAGACGATGTTCACAACTGCTGTGCTCACAACTGCATGCGGTTTGGTCCCAGTTTTTTTTTTTTTTTTTTTTTTTTTTTTTTTTTTTTTTTTTTTTTTTTTTTTTTTTTTTTTTTTTTTTTTTTTTTTTTGTTTTTTGTTTTTTGTTTATATATATATATATAATTTATATATATATATCAAAGAATAAAATAAAATTATTATTATTATTATTATTATATACACGACGCGAGCATGGCTGGGGATGCGCGCGCCCGCAGTTTGCTCCGCCCTCGCCATGCCCCCGACGTCGCGGAGTCTTCAAGGCGTGGGTGCCCGAGTGTTTTTTTGCGACCCGTCCATGGGACCAGTCTCTCGTCGCGGGCTGTTTTTTGATTCGCCCAGGCAACGAAACCCGAAAGGCTTGACGATTTTTCGCCAATCGACTGGTGGGGAGCGCCAGAGAAATGGAGGTACATCCAGATACGTCGAGGTGTGTATGTATGTATGTATGTATGTATGTTTGTGTGTATATATATATATATATATATATATGTATGTGTATGTTTATATATACATATATATATAGCCCCTCCGCACGCACCAGAACCCCCCCCCCCGTTTTTTCTTCTGAGCATACATGATTTTCGTATGATTCGTACGGTTTCCGGATTTGATTTTAAGGCGCATTTTTTGGACGTGTTTTTGGACTCAAGTTCGGAACGATGTTCACCCCCTGCAAGTGCAGCCGCTTCCACCAGCCCCAAGCTGAACTTGAACACGACCTTTTACTCAACTCCCTCCGTCTCCAACACACAATCCAGTACTCAACAGGCTCCTTGTCCAAGCTGAACTTGACAATAATCTTCTAGTCAAATCCCTCTGTTTCCAACACACCATCCAGTACTCAACACCCTCCGTCCCCAACGCAGCACCCGATATTCAACTGGTTCTCTCCCCAAGCTGAATTTGAAAATGATGTTTTCTCCACTCTCCCCGTTTCCAACACACCATTTAGTAATCAAGTAATTTGCACCCCCCGTCTCCAACACAGCACCCGGTACTCAACAGGCTTGCTCCCCAAGCTGAACTTGACAATGACCTTTGACTCACCTCCCTCCGTCTCCAACACACCATCCAGTACTCAACACACTCCGCTTCCAGCACACCGCCCGATACTCAGCAGGTTCCTTGTCCAAGCTGAACTTGACAATAACCTTCTACTCAACTCCCTCCGTCTCCATCACACTATCCAGTATTCAACACCCTTCGTCTCCAACATGTCTCCCGATACTCAACAATTTTCTTCTCCATCACGCAATTAACCATTATGTGACATGTCTTCCTTTACGGTTGCCGCGCCCGCCTTCCGCCCCCTTTTTCTCTTTGCATCTTACAAAAGAAACAGGGGGTTCATGGTGCGTGCGGGGACCTATATATATATAGAGAGAGAGAGAGAGAGAGAGAGAGAGAGAGAGAGAGAGAGAGAGAGAGAGAGAGAGAGAGAAACCGGACAAGTAGGCGGACCAGGGTCCGTCCGCGAGGCGCACTGCGGTGCGACAGCCCGCAAAACACTATTGGCGGCGGTGCAGCCTTAGGATACGAGGGCGGGCAGAGACCCCCTCCCCCGGCGCTTTGCGTCTGAAGCTACGGACGGCGGACAGACTGTGAAGATCTCACGTGTCAGACCGCGTGACGAAGAAGGCCCCAACAAGAAAGGCGACGTGCGGACACGTGGCTAGGCGGCTTGGCAGACCGCCAGGTGGGCGCTTGGCCGCAGCGCGGCGCGCAGGGACGGGGCACCCCCCGCCCCCACGCCCTGACACCGTGGACGCGGGGCCACGCGTGCACACGGGCAGGCAGAATGGCGGAGATTAGCGCGGGGCTCCAGGCGGAGCGTCGCGGAGCGATGACAGCATAGCATGGAGGGTGAGTGGCGGCGCAGCACCATCGGGCGGGGGTGTGAGCAGCTCGGCGAAGGCGCGACCGGCGCGGTGGAGGCGCTGGAGCAAAGGGCCTTGACGGGCTTGGGCAGCGGCAAGGTCGGCGGCGAGAGCTGCGCACCTC